TTACTTCAGTAGTGGGGAAAGTGATGGAAACCATGTTAAAGGATAGGATTGATGAACATCTAAAACACATGGATTTCAAGATCAGAGACAACATGGGTTTACTTCAGGGAGATCATGCCAAACTAATCTTATTGATTTTTTTGATTGGGTAACTAAAATTATAGATCAGGGTGGTGCAGTAGACATTGCTTACCTAGATTTCAGTAAGGCTTTTGACACTGTTGCACATAGAAGGCTTATCAATAAACTGCAATCTTTAAGTTTGGATTCCAATATTGTTGAATGGGTAAGGCAGTGGCTGAGTGACAGGCAACAGAGGGTTGTAGTTAATGGAATATATTCGAAGCTTGGACTTGTCACCAGTGGGGTACCTCAGGGATCTGTACTTGGACCCATTCTCTTTAATATTTTTATTAGTGATATTGCAGAAGGTCTTGATGGTAAGGTATGTCTTTTTGCTGATGATACTAAGATATGTAACAGGGTTGATGTTCCAGGAGGGGTAAGCCAAATGACTAATGATTTAGGTAAACTAGAAAAATGGTCAGAATTGTGGCAACTGACATTTAATGTGGATAAGTGCAAGATAATGCATTTTGGATGTAAAAACCCAAGGGCAGAGTACAGAATATTTGATAGAGTCCTAACCTCAACATATGAGGAAAGGGATTTAGGGGTGATTATTTCTGATGACTTAAAGGTAGGCAGACAATGTAATAGAGCAGCAGGAAATGCTAGCAGAATGCTTGGTTGTATAGGGAGAGGTATTAGCAGTAGAAAGAGGGAAGTGCTCATGCCATTGTACAGAACACTGGTGAGACCTCACTTGGAGTATTGTACACAGTACTGGAGACCGTATCTTCAGAAGGATATTGATACCTTAGAGAGGGTTCAGAGAAGGGCTACTAAACTGGTTCATGGATTGCGGGATAAAACTTACCAGGAAAGGTTAAAGGATCTTAACATGTATAGCTTGGAGGAAAGACGAGACAGGGGGGATATGATAGAAACATTTAAATATATAAAGGGAATCAACACAGTAAAGGAGGAGACTATATTTAAAAGAAGAAAAACTACCACAACAAGAGGACATAGTCTTAAATTAGAGGGACAAAGGTTTAAAAATAATATCAGGAAGTATTACTTTACTGAGAGGGTAGTGGATGCATGGAATAGCCTTCCAGCTGAAGTGGTAGAGGTTAACACAGTAAAGGAGTTTAAGCATGCGTGGGATAGGCATAAGGCTATCCTAACTATAAGATAAGTCTAGGGAGTAATGAAAGTATTTAGAAAATTGGGCAGACTAGATGGGCCGAATGGTTCTTATCTGCCGTCACATTCTATGTTTCTATGTTTCTATGTTACATCAAGAGTGTCCTGGCACATTTTGGCCTGGAACACACATGCAGTGAAGTGACACATGGTCCAGTCCCCCATCTATCATACCCTTTTTTTTCTGGTAATTTGCATCATAGGAAAACATGTATCAAGAGAGATAAAGTAAAAGTTGTGGTGGGCACAGGAGGTTTAAGGTTATGGAAGGCAGGCATCAAAGTGAAATTTAACTAACTAAAATATGTCACAGGGCGGGGGCGTGATGACGTAACATGCGAACACCGTGAGGGAAGGGCAACGTTTCAACACGGAACACGAAAGTTAAGGGAGTTAGGGAAAGAGCGGACCAGGTGGCATGCTGAGACGCATAGCCCGAGGAGGAGAGAACGCGACACAGGGGCTTTGGTGAACATCATTGTGCACTATTATCCCAAACGGATCTCAGCAAGATCTCAAAGAGTACGATACAGCAAAAAAGGTTGCTAGAGGAATTTAAAGGTCATAAAGAGGTACCTTATCAAGACGAAAACAGACCTACAAGGTATGAGTCATTGCTGATTTCTGCTGAGAGCTTGAAGCTACAGAAATAATCAGGTACAAACGTGTTTTATCATATTACTTGTGGGCTAAACTTAAACGCACAAATAAAGTGAAAGACATCCTAAAACTGACAAAGGGGATTAAGCTAATGAGATACTACCTAAAAAGTAGAATATCCATAGGCGTACCCCTCTAAAAGTGTGACACATTTGGAAACAAAACCAAGATAGAATCAAAGCAACAGCTCAATTCTTGACCCTGTTACACTAACTACAAAGGACAAGAGCTGCATTTATAATTAAAATGGGGAAAAAAGAGGGTAAAAATGACATCCAAGAGAATGCAAGAAAATAAAGCAAATTTAAAAATGAAAAAAAAGGACAAAGAAAAAAGGCTTTCATACTTTTTTCTATACAAGATTCTGAAACAGTGGGAAAAAAATACTGCAGATACATCTCTGACACTACCTCAAAGCATACAGCCTCATGCAGCAGAAATGACACTGTCTCTCCAAGCTTTCTAAAAGAATGTCTCAATATAGTACTCAAAGATCTCAAAAATGAAATAAATAATAAATTCATAGATCTGAAATCAAATATCCTGACTCTTAATCAGAGAATTCAAAATCTGGAACAGATGGAAGAACAGAGAAGACGCCAGCTCCAAGACATGGAGGAAAAGCAGAGCAAGATGGAATCCAAAATAATACAGCAAGAAAAAAAAATAGGTGAATGTTACGGTTGCCTCCAGGTTGGCTGGAAGTTGGACCGTATAAAGGATGCTCCTAGCGCTCACCAAAGGACCATCAGCACCGTAGACACCATAACTACTGCAGACTCCACGAAATGCCGCTGCTGGGCTGGGATCTCGCCACCTGCTATCCACCCTGGACCTATGACCAGGCGCCAGGTTCCAGTAGGTGAACCTCTTCCTTCTGTAGAGCGAAGCAGGATCAGGAACAAGAGCTCTTCCAAGAGCTCAGTAGCTAAGGGAGTACGGTTCTTAAAGGGCCATACACATCAGGGCCATAGTCATGAGGAAGGAGGCTGGCAAGTAGGCTTCTCCATAATCCAGGGGAACAGGGCAATTTGTCACTTAAAGGAACAGTGACAAAAGACATTTTGTAACAGTGACCTTGAAGATAGGTCAAGGAGAGCAAACTTAAGATTTCGGAACATACCCGAAGATATTGAAGACAACAAATTAAAAGATTTCTCATGTTTCCCGCCAACCTATGAGGTATAAGAATTAGAGTATTATCATTAAGTTATCATTGAAAATGATTATCTTAATATATTCAAAGGAACCTTTGGAGTAGATGTAACATTTCTAAGTTAAGGGAAAAGAAAAAGAATAAAGAGGGAAAGAAAAGGAGAGAGAAAGAAGGGAAAGGGAAGGGGAAAATGGAAAAAGGGAAGGGAAGGGGAAAAAGGGAAAGGAAAAAAAGAAAAGAAAAACCTCCTTTTGATGTCATGATTTAGCTTAATCCATCCAAATAATATAGAGAGATTGAGAGTTGAAGGAAAGCAACATTTCATGGAATGTATAACTAGAAAATAAAAGGAGGAAAAAGGGTTTAGTTGCCAACAGAGACATCTCTCTTTATTCCACCTTTAAGCTGTCCACCTCTCACTCTCCCTTGGGCCAAAATTTTTTAAGGTGAATATAGTGAGAGTTCCCTCCCTATGGGTACTAAGAAGGTACTCAGGACTTGAAGGCAGAGTAGGTCTTCAAGATATATGTTAGTTAGTGTGATAGGAAGTATGTATTGTCTTATTATTGTGTTTGTTGGTTGTTAATAATAAAGCACCAGGTCCAGATGGGTTCTCTAATGCATTTTACAAATATTTTGGAAAAATCATTATCCTTCATTTAATAGCAATGTTTAATGAAATAGCTGCTAAAAGTAAGGCATCAGAGGACCTATCGAGGGCAAATATTATTCCGATATTAAAGCAGGATAAATCTCCTACTGAACTGGCCAATTATAGTCCGATATCTCTTATTAATGTGGATGTAAAAATATACACATCTATTCTGGCAGAGAGAATCAAACGAGTGCTCCCATCAATTATTCATGAGGATTAAATTGGTTTCCTTTAAGGTAGATAATCATACAATAATACAAGGAAAGTGATTGATTCACTGGACTAGGCTCAGTCCAAGAGGGTCCACCTTCTGACCCTGTCGGTGGATGCCGAAAAGGCATTTGACAGCGTTGGATGGGGATTTATGAAGGCATTGATCCAGTTTGGCTTTACTGGTTAGATAGCGGGAGCAATCGAAGCGCTGTATTCATCGGCTACAGCTAGAATAATTGGTTATGATATATGTTCTAGTTGGTTGAATATTTCAAATGGAACCAGACAGGGCTGCCCACCATCACCACTATTGTATGTACTATGTATAGAGCCTCTCGCGATAAACATAAGGAATAACTTGAATATTACTGGAACTGTACTGGAGGATAGAAATTTCAAAAATTGTCTGTATGCAGACGACATTCTAATTTTTATAACTAACCCTAATGAATCCCTTCTGGAGAATATGAAAGAATTCCAAAAATATAGCTGTATAGCTAAGTATACATTAAATGTAAATAAAACTCTTGCAAAAAATATAGATAGAGATATCCTTTATTCACTTAAAAATCAATTTGAATTTGGGTGGAAGGAAAGAGAATTCCAATATTTAGGTATCACAATCACTTCAGACCCTACAGATATAGAACCTTAATTCTATTAACCTCCAGCAGCTGTCAGCTGATATTGATTCACAACTCCTATCCATCTCTTCCCTCTCCTGTCTCTCATTGGCCATTTCCACATATAACACTACCCTCACCTCTGCCTTGAACAATGCAGCCTTGCTCCAAACATGCACCTCGAGAAGGACACGCCCCCAACTGATGCATACTAAATCAACACGCTAACTGGAAAGATGCTCCTGTTGTGCTGAATTATAGATTCATATTATGCTCAGACAGTGCAGCCCTTGCCCTAGCCTAACAGTCATTCTTTTCCTCTCTCATTAGTTCATGCCCCCGCAATCCCAGGTGTCTCTTTGACACCTTTAACTCTCTACTTCGCCCTGCTGTGGACACCCCTCAAATTAACCTTACAGCCGATAGCTTTGCATGGTACTTTACTGACAAGATTGAACAGCAAAGGAAAGAATTTTCCCCAGTCTGCCTTTCTCTTTCTCAACCACATGTAGATCATGCCGTTCCTACCCTTCAGACTTTCTCCCCGGCTACTGAACAAGTGGTGGCTGCACTTTTATTTTCCTCTCCCCCCACCACTTGCCCACTTGATCCTGTCCCATCTCACCTTATCAGATCTCTGTGACTTCCTTAAACATGCCACTGTAGTACCTATCCTGAAAAAAAACATCTCTTGACCCATCCTCTCCCTCTAACTATTGTCCGATATCCCTGCTCCCTTTTTCCTCAAAGCTTCTAGAAAGACTTGTCTTTACCCATTTGTCTCACTTCCTCAATTGCAACTCACTGCTTGACCATCTTCAATCTGGCTTCCACCCCCTCCACTCTACTGAGACTGCTCTTATCAAAGTTACTAAAGACCTAATCGCAGCTAAATCCAAAGGCCACTACTCCATACTAATTCTTTTTGACCTCTCTGCTGCCTTTGACACCATTGATCATGCTCTCCTTCTTCAAACTCTTCAATCACTCGGTCTCTGTGACTCTGTCCTCTCATGGTTTTCCTCTTATCTCCCAACGCTCAGTGTCTTCTTTTCTAATGATACCTCGTCCCTTCGTCCTGTCTCGGTTGGAGTCCCCCCAAGGCTCTATCCTTGGCCCCCTTCTAGTTTCTCTTTATACTGTCTCTCTTGGCAAACGTATTACCTCATTTGGATTCCACTACCCCCTGTATGCTAATTACACCCAGATATATCTCTCCTCCCCGGACCTCTCCCCTGCCCTTCTGCAACGTTTCACTGCTTGCCTTTCTTCCTTCTCTGACTGAATGTCCTCCCGCTTTATGAAACTCGATCTCTCTAAAACTGAGCTCCTTGTCTTTCTTCCTCCTAATACTAATCCTCCACTTTCACTTTCCCTTCAAGTTAGTGGTATCCACATCAGTCCATCCTTGCAAGCGCGCTGTCTTGGTGTCATACTTCTGGCCTCACCTTTGAGCCTCACATCCAGCATGTTACCAAATCCTGTAGATTCCATCTTAAACGCATCCGCCCCTTTCTTACGCAAGATGTTACTAAGGAGATTGTCCTTGCTATTTCCCCGTTACAGTCTGTAATGAATGCTGCCGCCAGACTGATTTTCCTCTCTAGTCGGTCCTCTCACACCTCACCCCTCTGTCAATCCTTACATTGGCTTCCTGTATCCTATAGGAGTCAATTCAAAGTGCTAATCTATACCTAAAGAGCATTGACCAATTCTAGCCCCTCTTATATCTCTTCACAGATCCATAGGTATGCCCCTTCTCGGTCTCTTCGCTCTCGCAGCCATACGGCCAACTCACGCTTGCAGGACCTCTCGCGGGCAGCTCCTTTCCTATGGAATAATAGCCTGCCTACCACCATCAGAATTCCCTAGTCTTCAATTGTTTAAGAAGTGCCTTAAAATCCATCTCTTTAGGAAAGCTTATGGCCTCCCAGAGTAACCTCTACCTCACATACCTGTCTCTTGCTCTCTCTTAAAGGGCAGCATTCTACTCTCTCCTCCAACTCTGCTTCACTCCCACCATATTTGATTGCTATTTTATGTCCTAATGTTTTTTATACCCTACTTCCTATTGACTGTAAGCTCGTTTGAGGAGGGTCCTCTTCAACCTGTCGTTCCTGTAAGTTTTCTTGTAATTGTCCTATTTATAGTTAAATCCCCTCTTTTATAATATTGTAAAGTGTTACGGAATCTGTTGGCACTATATAAATGGCAATAATATTAATACTATATACAAACATACAGGCACACACAAACACATGTATATACAGTATATTTATACACTATATGTATACTTTATGCCATCTGCCTTTCTGTAAATGTGCATTTATTTAAAAAAAAAGTGCTATGCTGGAGAAATGTAATTCAAGTGGTGACACTGTATTTGACAGCATTTATAATGGCCAGGAGGCAGTCAACTAGTATAACAAGACTTGACAAGACATGAATGGCTGTAAATCGGCACTTTCATTTCCATCTATACATGACTCATCTTAGGTTATTTGACTTGCTTGGAAATGACTCGAAGACACCATCTTGGATTAAATGCCAGCATACTTAATGATCATAAAGCCTATGGCTAAAATACATTTAAATCATGTTTGCATGCATACATTTTGCACTTTTAAAATGTGAATTATAACAAACCTGATTGCTACATTTTTAATATTCCCAGACAGACGATACTGCAACTGTGTTCATTTACATTAAATTCTTAATGGGAAGATATAAGAATGTACAGTGTATTGTTGTTGCGTGATTCATATATATCATTCTGTACTCCTACTACAGTTGCCAACAATACATTAGTTCTTTCATGTTAGCTTTTAAATAATCAGATTTAACAAAGTAGTAGTATTTGTACACACGACTAAGATATCATTTTCCATTTTGGAACATAGCAAGAATATGGAATTTAAAAGTCTTGTCCTTAGCTCTCTGCCAGTTATGTCTAAACATTAAAGTTTATTGTAAATTGTGTTTCCTGTTATGGTTAACTGACCTATAGGCTGGTTATCTGTCATGAAAATGTAATCAAAACTATATGCAGTTCCAAAGCTAGCCATTGCTTCCCTCGACAGCTTCCATATGTCCTAGTAAGTTTAAGAGGCAAAAGATGAACGCTACCATTATAGACAAACCCTACGTTTTAGCACCTCTAATGTACACAGGTACTAAATTGGAATTACACTGGCGAGCAAAATGTATCTATTTTTTTCATTCAATTTTTTTAATATTTAATAAACGAACTGTATAAAATTAATAAATATCACAGGAACTCCATAAATGATAACTATTGTTTTCATTGCAAACAACCAAAGTAAAAACAAAAAACAACAAACAAGTTAAAAAGACTTGTATACATCTCATTTATCACTTTATTAAAAAAAATGACAAGTCGTTCTAAAATCTTAATATTTATGTATAGCACTGCATGATTAGTATTATGGAACTTCACATCGTACTGTTTTTATCTGTATATTTAGTGAACCTATTACAATGGTAAATACAGTGACATTTTACAATAAGATTGCTTGCAACAGTGAAACATTAAACGATTTCTGGCCTACTATCTTTCTGTCTTAGAAAAACCTGTTTAACAGGATCCTTTCTAGGATGTCACATACAACATTAGAACAGAAAGACAAAGGATGACAGCTGCTAAAAATTTTAATAGAATAGCTGTAACACAGAAGTACAAAACAATGACTTGGCTTTATGCCTTAAGTACTCATCTCTTAACCCCAAGGAGTCCACCAGAGACAAGGGCCGCCAACAGGATATGACAACTGTTGTCACAAGCCTGGCAGTCCTGGGGGGCCTGGACTGCTCGGGCCTTGGCAGAAATTGTTGTATGGGGCCCGGACCCACATTCCCAATGTGCACATATATATATATAGCGATTATTGCTAGATACACACTTTGTCCATTACACAAATACTTCATCCACTATACACACTGCATGGTAAGATAGGTCTTTTTGCTGATAATACAAAGATATGTAACAGGGTTGATGTTCCAGGAAGGATAAGCCAAAAGGCAAATGATTTAGGTAAACTAGAAAAATAGTCAGAGCTGTGGCAACTGACATTTAATGTGGATAAGTGCAAGATAATGCATCTTGGACGTAAAAACCCAAGGGCAGAGTACAGAATATTTGATAGAGTCCTAACCTCAACATCTACGGAAAGGGATTTAGGGGACTTAGATGACTTAAGACAGTTAGATGACTTAAAGGTAGGCAGAAAATGTAATAGAGCAGCAGGAAATGCTTACAAAATGCTTGGTTGTATAGGGAGAGGCATTAGCAGTAGAAAGAAGAAAGTGCTCATGCCATTGTACAGAACACTGGTGAGACCTCACTTGGAGTATTGTACGCAGTACTGGAGACCATATCTCCAGAAGGATATTGATACTTTGGAGAGAGTTCAGAGAAGGGCTTCTAAACTGGTTCATGTATTGCAGGATAAAACTTACAAGGAACAGTTAAATGATCCTAACTTAGCTTAGAGGAAAAACGAGTCAGGGGGGATATGAAGTGGTAGAGGTTAACACAGTAAAGGAGTTTAAGCATGAGTGGGATAGGCATAAGGCTATCCTAGGTATAAGATAAGGCCAGGGACTAATGAAAGTATTTTAAAAAATTGGGCAGACTAGATGGGCCTAATGGTTTTTATCTGCCATCACATTCTATGTTTCTATATGACCCAATCACAGTTTAAAGGACCACTATAGGGTCAGGAACACAAACATGTATTCTTGACCCTATAGTGTTAAAACCACCATCTAGCCCCCCTGGGCCCCTCATGCCTCTATAGATATAAAAATCTTACTGTATTCAAGCCAGAAACTGTAACTCTGCATGCTGTTAGACTCAGAAAATAAACAAGCTGTCTGCTGACATCATCAGAAATGGTAGCCTGACCCAATCACAATGCTTCCCTATATGATTGGCTGAGACTGACAAGGAGGCAGATCAGGGGCAGAGCCAGCATGATTCAAACACAGCCCTGGACAATCAGCATCTCCTCATAGAGATGAATTGAATCAATGAATCTCTATGAGGAAAGTTCAGTGTCTGCATGCAGAGGGAGGAGACACTGAATGTTTGGATGCATTTTAGGCAGCCATGACCCAGGAAGGATCTCTAATAGCCATCTGAGGAGTGGCCAGTGAAGTTATCACTAGGCTGTAATGTAAACACTGCATGTTCTCTGAAAAGACAGTGTTTACAGCAAAAAGCCTGAAGGTAATGATTCTACTCACCAGAATAAATTCAATAAGCTGTAGTTGTTCTGGTCACTATAGTGTCCCTTTAAGTGCATTTTCTTCACAAACAAAATTAAATGTGAATAGTAACATTTAGGCTAAAATATCCAATCTTTGACAAAAGCTGAATTGGGGATTTTTACCAAAGAAGCACTTTTTACCTACATTTTGTAATTTGGCTCTTTAACAGAATACAGTGCTTTGTTCGGGGAAAACAATCCAAATAAAGAGACAGTTAGAAAGAGACTGTGACATAAACTGAAAGAGAGACACAGCCAGGCAGACATAATATTAGAGAGAAACTACAGAAAATGTCCAGTAACAAAGTAACAAGATAAATACATTTTTAAAACATTTTAAATAATGCATTCTTGTGAGATCCACAGAGTGTAA